AAGTATCCCATTTATCATCATCTCAGCTCACTTTGCGATTGTAATACTGTCTACATGAACCGATAATTTACAGCTGATTTATGAACACACGATTGTTAAAATTTTCATTTCCCTTTCCAATATACATTGTCAGAACATACTTAGTTGGTTATGATATAAAATTGAATAATAAACACTTTCGATTTATTAAAGATTATCTAACAATATACGATCATTTACTAAATACTTCTCGCCCTCAAGAGAGTTAAAAAGACAGAGAAAATTCAAAATACAAACAAGTGCAACTTAGGATTGATTGTTCCGATATATCTATTTTAATTTTGTGCACAATTGTTTTCAAAATTACATTAAAATCTATTTTCCTTAAAAAAGAACCCAGCAATGGATAAATATTAATCGAATAAACTTACCTTTTCTCTTGTCAATCAGAAAATCTTGTTGACATTAAGTGTTTCTTAGTCGCCATATTTTTTTTCCATGAAAACAAACGTTGTTATGATCAGGATCAACGGAAGTTGATTTTCGGAACTCTCGAGAATTTAGAGTTCCGAATGTAAAACTGAAACAACAAAACACGGTGCGTCCGTGAAAGCAACTTTTTTGGACACTTTGTTGGACAAATCGTCGTGTCCAAGATTTGTTGGGTACTAACCTGCAAATACCCAATTAGGGTGTTTTAAGCATATTCAGCGACACTTCTTATTGGGTATACCCAATAAGCAAAAAGTACCCAATAAGTACAATCTTGGCATGAAAAATACCCAATAAATGCACTCTCGTAAACACGGACGGACAGACGGACGGACGGACGGACGCAGAGGAAACCTATAGTCCCCTCCGGTTTCACCGGTAGGGGACTAAAAAGAAAGATCAAAAAGCACAGTAACCTTTCCTCTTATGGTCTAATGATGGAATGAGGTTAGATATATTCCAACTTCCAGTCACCGGCAATTTGTCTTTAGTCCATTCTATCATTTTTCTTTCTTCTTCAGTCAACAATTTATGTACTTCGCTCCAAAGTTTCTCTACAAAAAAGTCTAAAAAGTCAGAATTCAGAATATTTTCCACCTTACCTACAACGAAACACTTAATGAATTTTTCATTCTTTTTTTATAACTTGTATTTTTTGCATCCATAAAATATAAGAGTTTCATCGGTCACAACTGTGTAAATGTGATCCTTTGCTCTTTATCAACAGATTCATTTCCTCTTACATGTACATGGTCAAATGTTAACGTTTGGTTACATATAAAAGCATCAACCCCTCGCAAGAAATTTTGAACAAACTTCTTTAGTAATATTGATAATAAGATACTGTCTGTTATGCGTCGTTGTATTGACTTTTAATTTTTCTAATACATGTTTATATTATCGGTCCTAAGAAAGATCGTTCCATGAAGAAATATTTTCAGAAAATTTAAAGTAGAGTGCTTTAGATTTATATAAATTCATTTCTAATAATAGGATCTCTCTTTCATTTGAAAAATATATATCACATCTTCAAAGCATCCGAATGATAGAAATGCTAGTCATTTTGGGTGATATCAAAACATAATTTTAATAGGGACTATAGATCACTTTTTAAAAGAATAGATTTGTCATTTTTTAACTTTTCAAAGACTTGATAATTTTTCCATTGTATTTAAAAGGATGTTTTGACCTTTGTGCTTAATATATCTAACAAATACGAGTGTTGATCCAAAAGTTCGTGGAATTTCTTTCTAAAATTTTATCGCGATTTGATGAAAGCAAACAACAGGCATATTCATAATATAGAGTCATAATGCGACAATATTGGAAAATTTTACAACTTTCCAATTACCAATGAGGTTCACACGAGCTTTCTGAAAATGGATAGTTGTGAAACCCGGGGGAAATTTCGACGTGACGTCAAGTTAGATAATTATGTCACGTCACGTTATAGATGCAACTCGCCCTCATGTCCAATTTGAATTCGTACTTCTACAAAAAGCTGTTTTTTTTTTTAAATTTTCTCTCAAGAAAGCTTGGGTATCCTCTCGCACCAACTTTTCTTCATTTTTCACTCATATTTCAAATTACTACCAATCTTTCCATCCGATGTGTCAATGATGATCCAATTTCAGTAGCAATGTCAAGAACTGTACTGCAGTTGACAACGTCCATTAACGCTTTTAATTTTTTAAAGGGGATCTGCACCTAAAACAGTCTCTCCAAAAATCCTCTACACCTTTAATCAACAGCCATGGCAGTTCTATTCTCTTAAATTTCTCATGCCACCGTAAACCAGTAACTAAATGCATTTTCCCCAAGCCTTTGTTTATTATATACGTGTTTAAGATAGAGTGATCCCGGATTTTTCGTATTACCTGACCGAAATTTGACTAATACAATACAAAGGAGCAGATTTCAAACAATTAATTCATTTTCAGTATATAAGTAGAGCCCCACCCCTGACTCTGGGGCCTTGAAATTCACAATTTTGCAAGATTAGGGCCCTTGCTCATCATAACTATATAGGTAGTTCATCTGCTTCATACCCAGAGACAGAGAAGAAAATTTTCAAAGATTTAATGTATTTTCACTATATAATCAATAGATCCCCCCCCCCCAACACCAGAACCCTGACCCTGGGACCATAAAATTCACAATTTTGGTAAAAGCACTCTTGCTCATCATAACTATGCACTTAGCTAGTTTATTTAATACCTAGGAGCAGAGAAGAAGATTTTCAATGAACTCATGTATTTTTACTATATAATCTATAGAGCCCCGCCCTAACACCAGAACCCTTGACACTGGGACCATAAAATTCACAATTTTGGTAGAGGCACTCATGCTCATCATAACTATGCACTTAGTTAGTTCATTTAATATCTAGGAGCAGAGAAGAAGATTTTCAAATAGCTCATGTATTTTTACTATATAATCTAAAGAGTCCCCCCCCCCAACACCAGAACCCTTGACCCTGGGGCCATAAAATTCACAATTTTGATAGAGACACTCTTGCTCATCATAACTATGCACTAAGTTAGTTTATTTAAAACCCAGGGGCAGAGAAGAAAATTTCCAAAGAAATCATGTATTTTCACTGTATATAATCAATTAGAGCCCCGCCCTAACACCAGAACCCCTGACCCTGGAGCCATAAAATTCACAATTTTGGTAGAGGCACTCTTGCTCATCATAACTATCTACTTACTTGGTTTATTTAATACCCAGGAGCAGAGAAGAAGATTTTCAAAGAAATAATGCATTTTCACTATATACTTATTTAGCCCTGCCCTAGCACTAGAACCCTTGACCCAAGGGCCATGAATTTCATAAATTTGGTAGAAGACTCAATGCTGATTACAATCATGCAAATAGTTTGACTGCTTGATGTCCAGGAGTAAAGAATAAGATTTTTAAAGATTGCATTAATTTTAGTGGTTTTGGCCCCACCCCTCAGGCCCCAGGGGAGCAGGGATCATGAAATTCACAATTTTTGTTCCCCTTCACAAATAAATGCTTTGTGCAAAATTTGGTTGAAATTGGTTCAGTGGTTGCAGAGAAGAAGCTGAAAATGTTCAAAAGTTTACGAACGACTTACGACGTACGACGAACGACGACAGACGAAAACGGATAGCAATAGGTCACCTGAGTTTACTCAGGTGACCTAAAAAGTACTGAAAGTACTGATAGACGGAGGCTTGGAATGAACATGATTGTTTGTCTCTTTGGAAATTTTTTATTCATATTCTGACCCCAACATTTGCCTAAGGGTAGTTGGCCTTATCTTTTGAAAAGTAGATACCAGGACATTAATACTTCATACATCTTTTTTTGTGGAAAGACTTTTCATTAGATATTAACAAACTTGACCTTTTGACCTTGACCTTCGATATTCTATACTTATGAAAAAACTTTAACCTTGGCCATGACTTTTGAATGGTAAGGGATATATGGGGGGGGGGGCAACAGTGATTCACAAACACATCTTCTTCATTTATGTTACCGTGGTCTAATGTTTAATTATGTAATTTACTGAATTCCTAATTTTCATCAAAAGGACAAACCAATCTAATAGCAATAAACTATATCAATTTCAATTCTTTAGTGACTCGTGGTAAGAGCTTCCTGAAATGTGAGAAAGCCAAAAAGTACTTTAGTATCTCTAACTCTTCAGGACTAAAAGGAGCTGAGATACAAGCATTCAGATATAACAATGCATAGATCTACATGCACATTCAACTTTTAATTAATTTTCTGTTGTGTTGGGTATGAACATAAAGAAGATCCAAATATTTCCAACATTATGAAAAATATCAAGCAGAACAAACGCCTGTTTCGGTGCAGATCTTGAAATGTACTAAGCTCTATAGGTATTTGTTGTCCAGTGCGAATTATCCTGACTTCCAAATTCTTACTTGACCGGTGATACCTTTAGAAACATTTGCATCTAGGTGAAAGTTGACTCCGCAAAATATGCCATCCCATTGTTCAAGTTTTATAAAGTGATTACACCGCCTTGACTAGATATTGTGGATACAACGATACCCTAATATCCAATATTATACGCGATTTTACGGATAATACCCATTTTCGTTGAAAATCCTTCCCGTTTCAGAGGCGGATCCAGCCACTCTTGAAAGAGGGGTTCCAGGGTTGTACTGTCCATATAACCCCCCCCCCCCCCCATACACACTCTCAAGCAAAGATTCACACACACGTATGGAAGATCTTAGGTTTCGGTAAATAATATCTGTTTACGTCCATTTATTTCTTTGAAATGGCCCCCCAGTCCGAATTTAAAGAAAAAATAAAAAAAAAAACTTAATTAAAATTGAATGGATTTGCAGCATTTCCAAAGAGTACAAAGAATTTTCTTTAATTGGAGTTTGAAAAAAAAAATCCGTGGTGGATGCAGGTTGGGTTTAAAACAAAGAGTTGCATGTTAGTTCCTTCAAATGATATAATTAAAACGGTTCATATACTATAGAACCGTTTTAATCATATCATTTGAAAGAGAAGTGAGTGGAAGAAAATTAATGTGTGAGAATCTATCTATTCAAAACATAAGTTAGACGTACAAATATATGTATTTTTATTGATTCTCGGAAAACGTTTCATTCTCTCTCTCTCTCCACAAGACAGAAAATAAAGCGGGCTTCCAATTCCCGGACCCCCCCCCCTCCCTTGGATCCGCCAATGAACCGTTTACAAGCATTCACCCATCCTTGACACTTTTTCAATATCTCTCCAAGGATTGGGATATCTAATAAATTCAACTCCTTGCATATATTTTTTGTGGGCATACTTTGAGTCACTATTGCAGATTCCATGACAACAGTGTTTTATTGCATCCTTTTTTCACAGGTTAGCCATAATATTACTACATTAACACCACAAAGTAAGATTCAAGCCACTGTTTTGGTTTTGGTCATGTAAACATAGAAACATGTGGGTCAGTTTGTCCCATCTAACTGATAAGGAATTCTAAAAATAGATGCAGCAGAGCTATAAACAGACAAGCCGCAGCTCTCTGCTGAGTCAGTTAGTGAACATTTAAAATATGTCAGTTTCAATGAAACAATGATGCAGATTTCTTCTATGTAGGTAATGTAGGGTATTAATGTGATAGGACCTTCGCAAACTAATTAAAATCCCCCAGGTGAGGTGAAAGGTGTGAGATAATTATAGGTCCATGAGAAAAAAAGAATTATGTATTGTATGTGGAAAATATTGTGACCGAATTAGATTAATTGCATCAAAAGCAGATGCAGAGAACTGCACTCGGTGATCTGTTTTGGCTTCCCCGACAATTTAAATTCTATGTCAGCGAGAGTTTTTATCAGCCAATGAGTGTGTAGGCAGCGGACTCTAAACATTACTGATCACCTGTCTGTATACAGCACATTTCCGATATCAGACAGGCAGACCAGTTTATCAAAGTTTAGCCTGGTTCCCTGTCCCTGTTTTGCTTCATGTACTCATGCCTTGGAAAGGATGAGCCGGGGGACCAAGCTAATCAAAGTTAACGTGATTAGCCGCTAGATGGCGATCG